ATTTTATATTTTATCTTTGTGCCATTTTTTAAAAAAAAAAATATATTTTTTATTTTTTATATATATTTGCCCCAAGTGGTTTAATCATGTTGAAAAATGCCTACACATATATATATATATATATTGATGTAGTTTTTGGTCATTGCGATTTTAGAATTTTAAGATTTATGTGCTTTTATGATATCGAATGCATAGTGGTGATATTTTGTATTTACAATTTAGGGACAATACGTGTATATCATTATTTAGATTATAATATGTGTTTTGCAGATATTATTGTTTTTATTTATATTCATGAGTTTATTTATACCTATGTTTGTATTGTATTCATCTTATTGTAAAGTGTGTGTCACGGGTATCATCAGATTTTATTATGATTTTATATGGGGATAAGGAATTGACAGTTCCCTATATATATCCCAGCATTATCCTGCACATGCGCAGTGATCCGTTCTGACGATATTTGCCAATCTCATTCTCAGGTGTGGACCTTATTATGGATTGAGTTCTGGCACTGCTCATTTAGGTGTTTTTAATGACAAGTCTTAGTATTTCATATTTGTATATTCGGTTTCCCTGGTGACCTAGTGACACACACTTGTGGTCTTAAAAATGGCGCCCGCACATGTCAGATTGGGCCGGTCTCCGGCAAAATGGCGCCCGATATGGAGACATATTTCCTATAGAAAATGGCGCGTTCGTAATGCGCATGCGCCATTTACGATATTTAATGGATACAGTCAGGAGCAGACGCTGAAGCTTATCCCCTTTGATAATGTGCGGCTAGCACGAAACGCGTCAGGGTAGGAGCTACAGCGTCACTATTTCTCTGCCGCCGGCACCACGGAGGTCCCGGCGGCCATCTGCTTATTCACCTCATGGTCAGTGATTGTTTGTTTTTCCTCACCTTACCATATTGCATATATAATAAATATTTTTTAAACGGTATCATGCTATTGGTCTCCTTTCTTTGTGGCCCTTGGTGAGTCACATATCACCTATAGAGCCACCCAAGAGAGAGACCGTGGAGTACTAGCAACATCCAACGGGTGGAGGAATATCTGGCCTGACCATGATCTCTTGAAGCTGTTTGTGGATCTTGTGGAGATAATATATCTCTAAATGCGCAGTGACACTGTGCATCTGGTGAGTGCACAGCCTTATCCTTTTCACGTTCACTGCATGGAAGCAGCACTTTGAAAGAAAATAACTGTCACAAGGACTGGTTTTGCACCGCATGTCATTTTATTTGTGATATAATGTTTGTATCATCACATCAATCACTCAATCACCATTAATACACCCCAACAATTTAAATGCAATTCTTCAGTTTTCCTGAAAAAGACATGGTTGGTCCCGGCCAGTGGCTGACAAAGCCAATAAGGCCCCTATACAGAAATATTTGGGCCCAAGTTGTGACTGGTAACATATGCGCACAGCTTATTGAATTGTGAGATAAAACAATGCCCTTTGAGAAAATGCTGAACTGAACATTTTTAACAGAAAATTGTCATGAAACAAAATAGCAAATGGAGGTAAAAAAACTCGTTCTTCTTAGTGAATTGGCCCTAATATGTCAGTGTTACATAACGATACCACGTTGCTAAGCAACAGTACATTATACTCTATAATATCATTACAAACAATTATGTAAATTCACACTGTAATTGCAAATTCTATCACCCAGCAAGAATATATACTACAATAACACATTATTTTGTCCAGCAAAAACCATATTATGCTGACATTGTAATTTATAGTGATTAACATCATATTTCGGCCACCACCAACCCCTCCAATGTGAGACCCCATTTATATTCAGCCACCACCAACCCCTCTAATGTTAGTCCCCATTTATATTGAGCCACCACCAATCCTTCCAAAGTGAGACCCCATTTATATTCAGCCACCACCAGTTCCTGTAATGTGAAGTCCTCATTTATATTCAACCACCACCAATCCCTCCAAAGTGAGACCCCATTTATATTCAGCCACCACCTGTTCCTGTAATGTGAAGTACCCCATTTATATTCAACCACCACCAATCCCTCCAAAGTGAGTCCCCATTTATATTCAGCCACCACCAATCCCTCCAAAGTGAGACCCCATTTATATTCAGCCACCAGCAGTTCCTGTAATGGGAGGTCCCCTCATATTCAGCCACTATAAAACAGCTCCCCTGAAATTTAATCACAAAATTTGGACCCCTCCCATAGTAAAGGCCCTAGAACCCTGACATTAGATGTAGAATTCCCTATAGAAAAGGGTATTGTATTAGAGAATTTACACTGACCACCAATGTATTAGAGCATTTACACTGACCAGCTGCATAATTAGGTAAGTGAGGGACCCCCCTAAAAAAGGAAATATGGGACTTTAAGGGCAACTTAAAAGACAAAAAACTGAGGTAAAATCAGACAATACTTTATTACAATGTCTAAAAGACAAACAATAATACAATTATAATAAAACCAGAAACCATGTGCTTGGTTTTACATGGCTGCAATAATTAAGAGAGATGCAATATAACCAGCAAAGTCAAATGGAATGTCCTCCTTGTCCTATTGAAATATCACCAATGGAGAACCCGACGTGTTTCAGATCATTCTCTTTCATCAGGGGTAAGTTGAGGAGGAAAATGCATAATTAGCTGCATAATTAGAGTATTTACTCTAACCACTTACGTAACAGGAGCATTTACACTGACTATCTATATAACAAGGGCATCTGCGTTGTCCAACATTGTCCTCAATTCATAACATTAAGGATCAGTGTAAAATTCTCTTTTTTATTTTGATAGTCATTGTAAATACATCTGTTATGTTGATAGTGTAATCTCATGTAACATTGGTGGTAAGTGTAAGCTCCCGTTACACTGGTGGTCAGTGTAATTTTTTCTGTTACATTGGTAGTCAGCGTAAACACCCTTGTTACATTGGTGGCCAGTATATATTTCCATGTTACATTGGAGGCCTGTATTATTTGTTTCCCCTAATTGTTGGCTGGTGTAAATACTTTTATTATATTGGTACTCAGGGGCAGGAGAGTCATGTAACAATAGGATTTAGTGAAGTGGTCCTAAGCATTGATATTTAGTGGAAGAAGGTGTGTGATGTCATTGGGTGAAGAAGTCACATTCATTACTATCAGTGGGAAAACGTCCCCCCATTCTTTGGTGGCCAGTGGTTACTTTTTCTAAAACAGGAGTTCTTCTGGACATGTTGGTTCCAAAACCCTTTTGTTGATTGGCGTAAATGCTTTTATTATATTGGTACTCGGCCAGAAGAGTCCTGTAACAATAGGGTTTAGTGAAGTGGTCCTAAGCATTGATATTTAGTGGAAGAAGGTGTGTGATGTCTTTGGGTGAAGAAGCCACATTCATTACTATCAGTGGGAAAATGTCCCCCCATTCATTGGTGGCCAGTGGTTACTTTAACTAAAACAGGAGTTCTTCTGGACATGTTGGTTCCAAAACCCTTTGAGCTGGAATCATCAGGTACTGCACATACAGTTGCAAGAAAAAGTATGTGAACCCCTTGGGATTACGTGGAGTTTTGCATGAATTGGGCATAAAATGTGCTCTGAACGTCATCTAAGTCACATTCACAGTGCAGGGAGGAAAAAGTATGTGAACCTTTGGACTTAAGAACTGGTTAACCCTCCTTTGGCAGCAATAACCTCAACCAAACATTTCCTATAGTTGCAGATCAGACCTGCACAACGATCTGGAGTAATTTTGGACCACTCCTCTTCACAAAACTGTTTCAGTGTAGCAATATTCTTGAGATGTCTGGTGTGAATCGCTCTCTGAATCGCCACAGCATTTCAATCGGGTTTAGGTCAGGACTCTGACTGGGCCACTCCAGAAGGTGTATTCTGTGCTGTTGCAGCCATTGTTATGTTGAATTACTTGTATGCTTTGGGTCATTGTCCTGTTGCATCACCCATCCTCTGCAGAGCTTCAGTTGGCGGACAGATGGTCGTACGTTTTCCTGAAAAATGTCTTGATAAACTCTGGAATTCATTTTCCCATCAATGACAACAATCCGTCCGGGCCCTGAGGCAGCAAAGCAGCCCCAAACCATGATGCTCCCTCCGCCATGTTTTACAGTGGGGATGAGGTTTTGATGTTGGTGTGCTGTGCCTTTTTTTCTCCACACAAAGTGTTGTGTGTTCTTCCCAAACAACTCAATCTTGGTTTCATTTGTCCACAGTATATTTTGCCAGTAGTGCTGTGGAACATCCAGGTGCTCTTTTGCATGTTTACATGTTATGTGCAATTAAACCATGGCAACATCTAATGTTTGTGTAGTATTATGTTCAGCAGACTGTGTTCTTCTATTGTTGTGACTTAGATGACGTTCAGAGTACATTTTATGCTCAATTCATGCAAAACTCCACGTAATTCCCAAGGGGTTCACATACTTTTTCTTGCAACTGTAGAACCAGAATCTGGTGAGGGTAATTTCTTACACCAAAAGTACACTCGGGATGATCTGGCCACTGAGATTCTGCGGCTCATTATAGGCAGGAGCATTCCCTAACTGTAATGAGCCCCAGGATCTCAAAGGACCTTGTAATCCTGCCCAGGCTGCACAGCTGATACAACCACCCCCTTCCTGACCCTTCACATTTCCCAGTCTTTGTTTTTTTGTTTTTTTTATGCATTCAGTGGTCTCATTGACTAGGTGGGGTGGGGTGAAGCTTGACTTTTACAGGAAAAGCTGAGATTTGCGTGTAACTTCAACTGATGATGTCTCTAAAGCTACTAATGATTTTGATGGGTGGTTTTCACCTAAGGTAAGAACTGCCATTGCTTTTATTTTATAAATAAAAGTAAGGCTGAATTTTTGTACAGCTCCTCTTTGTAGGAACAGCTGCCAAACATACATGGCTCCACAACATATATTCTATATGTACAGCCTTTACTGTGACAGAACCTCTTGGGAAGCCAGTTTGGCTAGCAAAAGGTGGGGGGGTGTGTAGCTGAATACCTCAGAGCAGGGGCGGACTGACCATTTGGAAACTCGGGCACTGCCCGAGGGCCCAGGGTCAGTAGGGGGCCCCATGAGATGCCCCTGAACCTTTTTCACAGGCTTTTTTGAGTTTGGGCAAGGACACAGGGGCCCCATGATCCCTATTGCTCGGGGGCCCCATGAGTTGTCAGTCCACCCCTGCCCCAGAGTAATCAAGAGCAGTTCTGCTACTGCTGGGATTATTCTTGAGAGCAAAAGAAATTGTGAGTTTTTTTATCTCCATAAAAACTGGCAAACCTCAGGGAAGCCAGAGTATATTGCACTACAGAGAGACATGGTATAGTGGCAGATTCAACTGGTAAAAACTATTGTTTTGGGTATGTGGGCACGGGGTCTATTGACTAGAAGGGGTTTTGATTCTTTAGTATAAATTAGTATTACTATATTAAGGTATTGCCATACAAATTAGGATTTATTTTTATTGTTTAATTATTGCTGTGAGCAAGCAGTTTGTTTTATCTGATATGGAATGTGACCAGTTTGAAACTAGAAACTGCTGGGCTGGTCTTCACTATAAACTTCCTACTTGAGACTGTCTACCTGAAGAGATGATAAAGACTGTCAAGACAATGATTACTATTTTAAAATCAGTTTTTCACATACACCCACATATCTAAAGTAAGCCCTTAGGGTCCTATAGATTCTCTTAAAATTGGATTTATAATGTGTATTATTCTTTACAGCTAACTTAAATACTGACCAGCAGAGGGCTCCCCAAATCCATAAATTCGACAAGCAATTCTTATGATGAGAATATGAGTGTGGTCATAATCCATACAGTAAATCAGAATTCTGGAAATCACAAAGGCTGCCTGCATGCATTTGGAGTAAGATAATCATTAAAATATCTCAGACGCATAGCACCAAATTTACTAAAGTCGCACTTAATGCTGTCAGTAAGGTCGATCAGTAAATGTCCCTCTGAGTGATAAGTTAACATATACATTTATAATTAATTTGGAATATTTTACAGCTGCATATATTTATTTAAAAAAAAAAATCCACAAATAGAAATATATTGAAAGCAGCTGTAGAATAACTAATAAAAATATAGCAATAAATGTGACACAAATACATTTATAATACTTTCTTCTATTAGGAATATATGTAATGCTTAAATCGTCAAATACAATAACAGCACTGATTGGTGGGCCTACAAAAAAAAAAAAAAAAACACTTTAGGCTTAGTTCACATACATGCATTTTGCGTTTGATGCTTTCCTCAGTGCTTTTTGCAGTTTGTTTTGCTTTTCGAAATTCAAAATGCTTTTTTGACGCGTTTTTACTGCGTTTTGTTCAGCTTCTTTTTTTTTTGTTACAGTGGAATTTTACTTGTTTGAATAAAAATGCAAAACCCGAAAAAACTTGGCAAAAACGCACTACCATGCATTTCAGAAGCTTCTCCATTGAACTCTATAGTAGCAAAAACATTGCTTTTTTTTAAAACAGTCCCTGACCCTTTCCGAAAACGCAGCAGCTCAAAAAAGCATAGACGTGAACATGTTTCATAGGAAACTATGTTAAATGGACTGTAGTGCGTTTCTGCAAAAAGCACTAAAAAAAGCATTGGTGTGAAAGGAGCCTAAATTCCTATTATTGCTTAACTTTCTTAAAGTGTTACTAAACCCACAGCAGTAAAATCAGTCTGTAGATGCAGTAAAGCATACTTGTTATACTCACTGTGGAACCTAAGGGGTTAATCCCCTGCATTGTGTAAAAAGGCTGTTAATCCTGTCTTCTCTGCCCCTCCTCTTGTTGAAATGACCACTTGATACAGACTAAATCTGTAGACACATGCACATGCTCAGTTTAGTGTGCATTGCTAGTTTTTTTTTTTTCTTGGGAGAGTGCATGTGATCAGCACAGAGCCAATCAGCACTGTCCAGACAGAGGGTGGGACTTTCACATCCTCCTAGAGCAGAAAGAAAACTCCTCCTACAAGCTCTAACCAATGCTCTGCTGAAGTCACAAGACAGCTTTAACTGCTGCTGAGAAAAGGTATTTAGCAGTTTATATTTATAAAATAATTGCATTTCCATGTAGTGGGTACTGTGGGAAACCAGATATAGTGAATGCAGGGGCCTGGGTTTAGTAACACTAAGTGCTACCTGTCTATTCTGTAATTTCTAATTGTACATGTTTGTGTGCTCATATACATACCAAATGAATATGATAAAAGATTTTTTTTACAGTTTTATAAACAAGTAGCCAATAATAACCTTACTATATATAAAGTAAAGAAAGCGATATAGTGCCCCACGGATTACACCTTTTGATTACATGAATGTATGAATATAATTTAGTTGCCAGATTCCAGTCGTTGCAGTCATAACGATACCATGTTCACAGCATTATCAATAACTGGAAAGCTATAAATATTATTTATTTTATAATTAAAATAATACCAGCGATTTATACAAATTAAATATGGGACGACAAATCAATCATTTTAACTGATTGAAATAACGCATTTGTTGTGTAAACAAAAATTACAAACAATGGAAACTGTATAATATTAGAATTACAATAAACAATTTTACTGATACTAAAATGCTTATTTGTATGTGTTCTAGCATCAAACATTGAATGTTTCAACCATATGAATAAGGACCTGGCTGTGAATTTCAATGTATATAGTCCAAAGACTGATTTAAGCATGCATTTCATGTGCAATGGTTTGTGCATCCCTGCTGTATCCTTGAAGATCCACAGCAGGAAAACCAAGCTTATGAACATAATAAATCAAGCCTTCTGTTTCTTCTTCATTACAAAAAAAAAAATGAAATCCCCCCCCCTTTTTTTTTTACCAGCCTTAGTGACATGAGTGCATATATTTACAATGAGCCAAGGAGGATATGGCAACATCTAAAACTGAAAAGTAATACTGCAATGGTGTTGGCTGAACGTTAAGTATGGAAACTGATCATTCATGTTTTAGTATTACAGAGTGTATATGTGCTCTCAGAACAAGCTCTGTGTCCCATCAAGGCAGATGTAGGTTCATGAATAATTTCATTGATTATTACTGAGGTTTTATGTCTCGGTTTGAAGATGAAGACATACGTGAAAGACATGATCTAGAGGAGAAGAAGAAAAGTGAGAAACACGAAGAAAGGAAAGGCAGAAAGGGGAGTGGAGGGCAGGGTCAGTGTTAGACTATTTTGCGCCCTAGGCAAGACCAGCTACTCGCACCCCCCAACCCCAAATAAAAAAAAAACTCACAGGGAAAGGAAATGATGAGAAATCTGGAAATGGGGACAGTAGTTCTGTCTACCCAGATTTTTGCTGAAGATTTTCTTTCACTTCTTGTTGTGTCACCAGGACTTGAAATGAGGAAAAATCTGCCAATGGGGACACCGGGCCTGTCAACCCTGATTTGCTATTTCCTCTTGTTTCCTGTTATGTCACAGGACAGGAAATGAGGGGAAATCTGCCAATGGGGACACCGGTTCTGTCCAACCTGATTTTTGGAAGATTTCCTTTTATTTCCTGTTGTGTCGTCGAGACAGGAAATGAGGGGAAATCTGCCAATGGGGATGCTGGGTCTGTCTAAACTGATTTTCTGAAGTTTTCTTTTTACTTTCTGTTGTATCACCAGAACAGGAAATGAAGGGAAATCTTCTGATGGGGACACCTGTGACAACTAGGAGAGATTTCCTCTCATTTCCTGTGGTGTATTTAGCACAGGAAGTGGAGAGAAATCTCCCCAGTGACACACAGGATAACCTGGCCAATTTCTACTCTATCCAAAACTAAAATACACTGTGGTGAGAGGTGTAATAGCTCTGCGGTCCAGGGGTCACCTTCCTCACACCTTCATTCCACCCCAGGAGTGCAGATATTTACCTCAGTCCCCTGTCCAGCTAATCATGGTCAGCTTCAACAGCGTTTTGAGGTGCAACAGGAAATAGAAGCGAAGAAAAGACAGGACTTTTCTTAGTGACTGATACTTGGTGGGCGCGCTACAGCTAACAAAGAGTGGGCACAGCTGGCTTGATGAGCTGCAAATTGCTGGGCGCAAACAAAATTGGCAATTGGGGGAGCCAATGAGCAACCACGAAGTGATGCGAGCATGCTGTGTGAGCGACAGCAACACAGTTCAAGCCGCTGAGCAGCCAATAAGTGCTGGGCAGGTGTTGAGCTTGCCAACCAATGAAAAGTGAAGAAGCATCAGCCATGGCTGAGCTCTAGGCAACAGTGCACTCTGGGCGGCTTCCTAGTTCACCTAGCGATAGCTCTGGCCCTGGAGGAGGGGGCTAAAGCAATGGAAATAAGTGATAAGGCTGTCCATACATTATACAATTTTCTTGAGATTTTTGGTTTAGATTTACCAAAAATCATATAATATGAGGTCAAACCTAACAACACTTTTAATTGTATCCAATTAGGCAGGCCCTTGCACTACATAGTTGAAGTTAAATCTAAAGGAAATTGGGCAGAAATTGGACAGAAATTTGTATAGTGTATGGCCAGCCTTAGGAGACGTCTTAGAGTGGTGTGTCTCCTTCAGCCTGCTGGAAGGCTTCTCTGTGTCCTTATAGTGTATGTTCAGCAAGTTTTGGATGGAATGGAGAAGGTTTTTACTACTATCCAGTACTACATTGGATACATTTCTCTCATTTTCTGTCTCAGTGACACTATTGGAATTCATTGACAATAGTGTAACCAGACACTGCCTGTTTTTTCTTATGGAACCTTACCCTCCAGGGGCGGACTGACCATTTCGAAACTCGGGCTCTGCTCGAGGGCCCGGGGTCAGTAGGGGGCCCCATGAGATGCCCCTGGTACCTTTTTCATAGGTTTTTTTGAGTTTGGGCAAGGACACAGGGGCCCCATGATCCCCTATTGCCTGGGGGCCCCATGAGTTGTCAGTCCGCCCCTGTTACCCTCAATTCCTGTTTTGTGAAACTGAGGGGTTTATTTTCTAAAGCTCGTTCATTCAGAATCTCGCTCACCTGTCCATGGTAGCCAGTCAGTTTCTAACTTTAGCTTGTTCAGTTAAGCTTTAGCAATAAAACCTGGAAGCTGATTGGTTTCCATGAAAAAGTGCACGTGATTCTGTGTAAACCAGCTTTAGTAAATAAACCCCATCAGGCCAGAAAGTGAGAGCAGTAAAACCCAACAGGGATCTAACCTTTCAACCACTCTATCCAAAACTAATACAAACATTTTAGTTGGACATAAACTTTAACATCACATTATTGATTTTCAATGATCAAGGTAATTTGCCTTCCATTGATAGGGAAACCTCTAGATGTCAGGTCCTCTTATATGCATATACAATCACTGGCCTCTTTATTAGGTACATCTGTTCAATTGCTTGGTAACACAAATTGCTAATCAGCCAGTCACATGGCAGCAGCTCAATGCATTTAGGCATGTAGATGTGGTGAAGATGACTTGCTGAAATTCACACTAAGCATCAGAATGGGGAAGAAAGGGGATTTAATGACATTAAAAGTGGCATGGTTGTTGGTGCCAGATGGGCTGGTCTGATTATTTAAAAAACTGCTGATCTACTGGGATTTTCATGCCCAACCATCTCTAGGGCTACAGGGAACGGTCTGAAAAAGAAAATATCCAGTGAGAGGCAGTTTTGTGGACAAAAATGCCTTGTTGATGTCAGAGGTCACTGGGCAGACTGGTTGATGCGACACTCATATGGTAGGGTCAGAATTTGGTGTAAACAGCAATGGATCCATCCTGTCTTGTATCTACGATTCAGGCTGGTGGTGGTGGTTGTGGTGTAATGGTGTGGGGTGTCTCCTCTTTCTGTTGTTCTCTCCTATGCTCTTTATGTTGTTGCACAGACAGACACACAATAAGTGACACTCTCTCCTTAATGCAAAACTGTCTTTCAGGTGATTTTGGCACTAGCAAGGTGTACCTAATAATAAAGTGGCCGGTGAGTGTATGCATTGTTTTTATCTATGTATGTATGTACGTATGTATGTATCTATGTGCTATCATTAATTGTTTGACTTTCCTCGTGGTTATAAAAGTAGATTTTGAGCTCTTCCACACAATTGAAATACATGTCTATGCCATGTTGCAAAAATATGTATCAGTACTGATTTCCTGCAGATCTTTCTTAGGAACTCATTGTTGGGCATTAGGAAGAAGAAAGGATAATTTGGTTATGGTATGGCATATCTGCGAATCACTGTCATAGCTCCCTCAACTCCTTTCAATAAAACTCATCAGTCTGAGAGGCATGCCCAGAAGGTATGTGGGTAATGTCTCTTCAACTTTGCATCTACTGCATATGCTTGTTACTGAAGAGAATAGGCACTACTAAAATTAGTTCTCTGCCAACTGTTAGCAGTTTACAGTCTCTTCAAAGACTCAAGGTAACCACTTCTAGTACCAGTATGTCCTCTCATTCTTGCAGCTTGTGCACAGCACAGCCCCAAAGCCACATAGCAGCTCCATCTGTGATTGCTGTGTCCTTTGGAGAGCCCATTTGTTATATGGAAAATTGATATGTACATATCCAATATCCATATTTCCAATGTCTATATCTCTGGATCTTCTGTCCTTCACATTCTTTTGATGGTAGCTTTCACTTAGTACTGCTTAGATGCAGTCAAGAACAGTTAGGTAGCCAGGCTGGCTGGGCTTTATAAATACGAGAATTAAATGCACAGAAATACAATACTTTTTTCAAGTAAAGAACTCTTATTTCATCTGTTTGCCTGGAGTTCAGCTGTAATATTAAATACGGTACATTTTACTATAGTTCATGCTTAGGCATCACAAAACGCCATACAAATAGAGTGAAAACCTCCAGGCCAGAACCTATCGTAAGATTTGGTAATGGTTTATGACTTCCCTTCCCTTCATTCAGGTTTTCTGTCACCTCCTGTGGAATATTAGCAACTGATGAATTCTGGTAAGATTACAGGTAGCACAGGTAAACCTTGAAAGCTTTGTAAAGAGCAGTATAGAATGGACTGCATAGTAAAGTTTAAATGCAGTGTTAGACAACCAAAGAAACCGGTTAATAGCTGCTTGTTATGCTTGTGGCTCATAAATGTCACAAACAGTGTAATTTGCAATATGTTTCTATGATTATTGTGGGATATATTTGGGGTTTACAAAGCACATTTATGATATGAAAAATAATGTTTTTTTATGTGTATAGTGATTGAATACATGTTCCAAAAATACACATATACAGTAGTAGAGATTTGCTTTGTAATACTGCATTTTAGACCAATGACTTAAGATTACTTACATGGGGGCTGAGCTCTTAGTCATCCAATGACCTGTGTGCTTTGTTATCTACTAACCAAACACAAGTATGCTGATGGTCTGATTTCATTTTGATTTCTCTAATAAGCAATGTTTCAATTTAGCCAAGCAAATAGACAAACAGTACATTTTTAGAAGAAAGTCAGCACTCGGCAGTGTCAACCTAAATATTTTTCTTAGTAGCAAGCTGAGTATGCAACCTACCTTCAACATCAACTATGGAATTGGGATAGTCCCTTTATTGAAATCTTACTAGATAACAGTCATGATAGCATTCACTGAAATCTGTTAGTTCCAATAGAGTAACAAGTTTTATGTGCAGGCTATTCTGCTAAGCCAAATGCTACATGTCAGATATCATCAGATATCAAATTGTCCTAGTCATGCTATTTGTTTGGCACACACCAAAGTTGCCAGATTGCCATTCTGGGCCTAATCACCACATTATACTTGGGATCAGTTCTAGTGAAATTAGGTGATACACATTTACATAAACAAGAATATGAAAACAACTACATTCTCTATGCACCCTGTTAAACATTGTGTTACATTATACAATTTTCCTTTAAATTTATCAAAAATCATTTAACATGAGGTCAAACCTAAACACTTTCAAATTGTTTGCAATCAGGCAGGGCCTTCCCCTTGAAGATAAATCTAAAGGAAATGGAATAAGAATTGTATAATGTATGGCCAGCTTAAGGCCCCTTTTACACAGGTGGACTGATCAGGTCCTCCTGTCAGTTTTTTATGCGGATCCGATTGGACCCACAATTATTTATTTATTTATTTCAGGTACTTATATAGCGCCGTCGATTTTACGCAGCACTTTACATATATATTGAATATTCACATCAGTCCCTAACCCTCAAGGGGCATACAATCTAAGGTACCTAACTTACATTCATACATACTAGGGCCAATTTGGACAGGAATCAATTCACCTACCAGCATGCCTTTGAATTGTGGGAGAAAACTGAAGTACCCAGAGGAAACCCACGCAGGCACAGGGAGAACATGCAAACTCCAGGCAGGTGGTGCCGTGGTTGGGGTTCGAACCAACGACCCTAGTACTGCCAGGCGGAAGTGCTAACCATGTAGCCACTGTGCTGCCCCTATGGAGCTGCAGATGTAAATGTGTTCACCTATATCTGATCCATTCCTATCCGCTAAAAACTGATGGATGGGGATCTGATCAAATCAGATCGGAAAACAGTCGGGTGTAAATGGACAGGTGGCCTGTTTACATCTGACTGACCATAGAGGGCAGCAGGCTGTGTCTGTGTCTGTTCTGCATAAGCAGAGAGGACACGGACCAGCCATCAGCTTTCCCCATGTGGAAAGGACCTTAATCTAACAGGCTGATCAAAAAAACAAACAAATGGATTCCCCCATCCACACAAGTGAGGTAGATGAAGGATGCCTCCCTGATGTGCTATAGAAATCTGACAGCAAGGACTCCTCTTTAAATGAAAGCTTTCCAACAGTCCCATTCAACAGAAGTGAGTAATTAAATCGACTTCTGTCAAGCAGGAACATAGATTGATTAAAATTTGTCCAGTCCCTGCAGAATTTTGATCCATCTAAGTTCAGCTTTAGGCACAAGTATGGAATTTTATACAGTAGACTCATGGTAATTTTAGAACCTTCAGCTATCGCGCTTATATAAAAACACTCTAGATCAGGGGTTCTTAACCTGGGGTATCCAAACTCCTTAAAGTATGGAAACCAAATTTAAATAATTAAAAAAAAAAATAATCACAATTTTCTGCATTATTGAACCTGCAAACAAAGTGGAGAAATTGACCTGTTTTATGATTTTCCTTCAACTGTTCTCTTCCTAGCTATCCATTACTTTCTAGATAGTGACACATTTTGAAATTTTGTACCTAATAGGACTGGTGATGATGATTTTGACAGTCTAGCACAGGGGGTAAGGGGGCATATTGAGAAGTCCATTGGGGATCTGTAATTGTGAAAAGTTAAGGACCCTTGGTCTAAATGGATTTATTAAAGCTTCTGATGCTCACATAATCAACACACCATTAGAAGTTGGAAAAGTAAATATAAAACAAACATTTTATCCCTGCACACAATTTGAAATGTGTCCTCTTTGAACCAGGAGAGATAAAAAAAAAACCCAAAACAGAAAGCAATGCAGATCTGTTATATTAGCCTGCCATTCTCAAATATTTTAAGGTTAAAACAAATGATGAGACTCTGGAATGAACTATTTCAGTGACATTTAGTATCACATTAGGTTGTCTAGTCTAGGTGGGTATGAATATGGGGGTTGATTTAATGGAGAGTGCAAGTTCTGGTTCATCTCTGCATAGCAACCAATCAGCTTCCAGGTTTTATTACCAAAGCTTAATTGAACAAGCTGAAATTAGAAGCTGATTGGCTACCATGCACAGCTGTACCAGATTCTGAGTGCTCCAGTTTTAGTAAATCTCCCCCATGGAGTATTTCTTATCCTATTCTGTCTGGTGGAATGCTCCAGTGCTATTCTTTTCTGCCTGAAGTACTTCTCTGTGGGAGGTCCCTCTGCATCATCATGTACAATGCAGGGGTATTAAGTCTGCATTGTATGTGGAGAAGGTGAACA